TTTTTTTTGCATTGAGCTTTTTTCGACATACCTTAAATTACTTTATCAGATATGTACACACTAAAGTATTATTAAACTGTGTCCGTTAGATCTATTGTGCCCCCTTCATAGATTTCTTCAGAGTCTATTAGCCTTTCAAGTAAATTCCCACTTTATTCAGATGACAGTTCAGCATGCAGTGTCCTGCCAGAATTCCTATAATAATTCTTATGTTATACTTTGAAGAGCTCATACATTACTTAAACGTTTTAGGTTATATATTTCTAAAAGTGTTTAAAAATCTGTAGACCTGGTAGATTGTCTCAGCAGTGATTTCTTTGAGCCTCTTCCTCCAGAGCAGAGAGTGTTTCTTTTTCTATGCCACAGAAGTGCTCTAGGCCGATGAAATTGGTTATGATCCTACTCGATAGGTCAGACCAAGTATGCAGCTTGTCAAGGCTCTCTATCACCAGTTTAGTTGTAACCTCATGAGACTGAGGGCCTTATTAGCTACTTGTCCGTCAGTCAAGATGACAACGTTCTGATTCGTATGCGTATGTTTCAGCCTGGAAAATGGGCATTTGTGTATCCATAGACTCTGCGTATCCCAACCTCGGTCTAACTACACCTATCCCGCTAGCCTCTTCAATCAATGAGCCATCAGTCTACCGAGTTATCATGTTTTGGTTTATCTGATGTGTCTCGGATATTCTTGCTCAGCTCTTCTTATTACTGAGATCAGTTTTAAACCCCTTTATAAAGTTGAACTTCGGGTGCATGGTATTCCTCGGTATTGCAGTTACAGGGTACTCCTTCGTCGGAATATCGATCTTTCTACGGCCAAGAAATCCTTCTCCCCCGATATTGGTACCAATCATTTGTAGAGCACTTTTCGCCTGAGTTTGTATATGAATATGAAATCCCTTATTTAGATAAACTTTCATGCTTGATTTTATTACTGAGAAGAAACACACTAGAAATAATTTTGATCCCAGATAAGGTATGTATGTAGGTATATCAGTATGCATCTGCTTTAGCTTCAATTTCATTCATTTTTATACTTATTCATCCCTTCTGAAACTTCATCTAATTATTTATTACACCAAGGAATGCCAGTTACTGTTGAAATTCGGCGGATTTTCTAGTTTTTAAAAGGCTCCAAGGATTTGCTCATCTTCGTTTTAGTGGCTCTCTTCATATACCTATTCGTCTTCGTACTAGTTTTCGCATTCATTTTCGTATTCATTTTCATCCGCTGTCTTCGTATTCGTCTTCATATTAGTATTCGTATTACACTAGGTATTGATATTGATCATCATATTCTCCTTTGACTTCCTCGTCGTCTTCGTCTTCGGATTACCTTCATAGTCACATTTGTCTTCGTATTCGTCTTCGCATTCATCTTCATATTCACCTTCGTATTCTCGCCTTGATATTCGTTGTCGTTGGTTTCGCATTAGTCTTCGTATTCGTTTGTGCCCTGTTCTTCATATTCCTCTATGTTTTTTTTTTTGCCTATTCATATTTGTCCCCGTATTTGTTCTCGTATAGCATTCGTCTTAATATACGTCTGCATATTTCTCTTCGCATTCACCTTCGCGATCAAATTCGCCTTTGCATTCGTTCTAGTCTTCGTATTTGTTTCGTCCTTGCATTTTTGCGCGTATTCGTATTCGTTTCCTACTCATGTCCGAATCCTTCTTCGTATTCGTGTTCGTCTTAGTGGTCGTTTTGGTATTTGTATTTCGATGACTGAGTAGAAGATCGACCTATCTGGGCAGCCAGTTCGAAAACGCCCTATCTCAAAAAATTTTTCAACAACGCTTTATTTCAGAATTTGGTTGAAAAACGCCTTATCTCAGCTGCCGATGCAAAAACTCCCTATCTCAGCACGTTTTCAATGTATTGTCGTTTGAAATATCGCGTTTTTTAACAGAATTCTGAGATAGGGCGTTCTTTAAGGCAAAAGTGTGTTCGTTTGAGCGAAAGTGCTAAAATGTGAAATATTCGACATTTTTTTACAACAAACATATGGCAGCGTTTCGCACCTTTAGTTTCGCACAAACGCACAGCTGAAACCCTGACTGAAATGCAAATAGCGAGAAGACTGTGCTGTTCGTACATCGATTCGGCAATTAAAGCGACAGCGCGAACGAAGCGAACGAGCGCAACGAATATTTGATACCGCGCAGTGGATGAGCTGTTTGAAATTTCGCAGCCAAAGCAACTTTTGCGCAAAACAAAGCGCTCATTTTTGCCTTTCGCATTTTCGGATCAAAGAGTGAACTCTAATATTTTTGTTGTAAATAAATGGTACATAATAAAAACTAGTTTAAATTAATTAAGATTCGTCAAAAGTGAAAAAATGGCAAAAGTAAAAGTTAAACTTTATAAAACAATTGCACCAAAATTCCAAATTTTTTACAGAATTTTTATCCCATTCAATTTTGGCGCAAGCCCCAAGTGCCCAAGGTTCGCAGTTTTTGTCATTTCGAACACACTCAAAGCCATATATGTATATGTATGTACATATCAGAGAACAGCTTTGAGTATGATCGAGCCTTTTTGATCACACTCACTAAAAATCAAGCACAAGCGAACGCCACACTCGGCTACTATGTGTTCGATCGAGATGCATACCCGACAGCTGCTTTGGTTACGAACGAGTCTGTTCGATCACCCTCGATATAAATTGAGCACAAGCGAACACCACACTCGGACACCCGCAGCTAACCCGAAAATTTGTGTAACAATGAAACGGACACCCGAACATTGCGATAAAATGCAGGACAACAAAGAAATTTACGCTGAAGGTAACTGGCGCCAATATGTTCCCACAAAGCATACGAAAATGTTGTTGCTTTGTGCTTGTGCATACGCAATGAAAAAATTAGAAGCGAAGTAGACAAAAATGTTTTTGCATCTATTTCGTATAGTTTCGCGTGGAAAGCTGTGTGTGTATATATTAGAACACAGCCTAAAACTATGTAGGTACATAAGTACTTTTACAAAAAATAAATGTGCACCGAGTGTATAGGGCTTGGGCATTGCCGATCTACACACATTTATACCTAAATGGATGTAGGCGTCGTGATGCCGCATTTTGTATGAGCAAAAATATAAGAAATGGTTAAATGTACACTTAAACAAACTACCGAAAAATTCAACCTTCTCTTTACCCTCTACGCACAAAAACTAAGAACACCGCGATGAGGAGGCAACATTTTTTGTAGAAACAAAAACGTCATAAGCCCATCAAGAAAATTTTGTGCACACTCGGGTTGAAACTCGAACACCCGGGTATATTGAGCTGCAAAGCACCCGAACCCAATCAAGTATGTATGAAAAGCAATCGGGTGTTGTGGCCAACATGTTCGTCTTGAGCTCAGTCGATAACGAACAATACTTCTGCTCGTATACAGAGAACGATGCAAAACGGGTTTTGTTAGATGATCGAGTATACACGAAAATCATGCACCCGCTGCAGATGTCTGGTACATATGTACATTAGAATGCCTCACCTACGGTTGCCAGACGTACTGATTTTGTCAGTAGAGTACTGATTTATCAACTGTTGTACTGATTTTATTCATTTCTTCAATCAGTACGCTAATGTCCTGATTTTTCAAAATTTGTACCGATTTGTACTGAATTTCTAATTCAAACAAAATACTTTAGGATTTTCTTAAGGTTTTTATATAAGGTTGGAACTTCCTTAAACTGTACTGTAAAAAGTTAGAAGAAAATAATTTAATTATAATTGACATGTTTGAGATAATGTTTGATATACCCAAGAAATTAATACAATAAAAAGATCAATCGTTTTACGGGCATATCGCCGGGTCGTTACGTACCAATTGCGATAATAAGCTTAAATTATTTAAAAAGAAGGCTGGCGTTTTTTTGACATGTGTTGTTAGTTATCTCGAAAATAACTTTCAGTTTAATAACAACAAATCTGCCTATAACTTGCAATTATTTTTTCACAATTTTCTGACATTGTTAAATAGTTTTGCATGCCAGACATAGAGTTGGATACACTTTCAAGCGAATTCTTAGTCTTTCAAAATTTTTGCGTAGTTGAAAAAAATAATTTAAGCCATGAGGAAATATATGTAGATGAAATCCTTAAATAGTGGTACTTTTCTACAGTTTGAAAAAAATATGTAATTGAGTTTTTTTCAATACATACCACACTCAAACGAAGCAACTGGAAGGATTTTAATAGTTATAGTAGTTTTCTTCATGGCGAAAAGAAAGAAATCGGCTTCTACATAAAATTTTTTTAAGTGAACTTCAAATTAAAAGTAATTTTAAAAATGAAATGTTTAGAATTCTTTGAATATTTAAACACTGAAGATGGATTTGATCTCATTATTGCTATTCAAAAATCTCATAATTATAAAATAATTTATTGGCTTCTGTGTACAATGATGTGTACACTCATGTTAAAATGAATAACTTTTTTATTTTTTTATGAACTATATTTTATTTATATAACAAAATATTGTTAAAACAAGTTCTCTGGCATTTTAAAGTATTATCTGTTACTTAAATTCATAATTTTGCTTTGAATAAAAATGTACTGAAAAGTACTGATTTTTTAGCATGAAACAGACTAACGTACTGATTTTGCGCATACAAAATCTGGCAACCCTAGCCTCACCAAAAAAGTTGCAAGTTTTCCTACGGGATTATAAAATTGGTTATATTTGAAAACTTTCGCAAAACATTTCGAGAAAATATTAGGATTTACGTGAGCTGGACTAATCTCATTATTTTGATTTTGTTGGTAAAATGTGTAAACATTTGTATAAAAAAATCGATTTTTTGAGACATTTTAAAATCGACCCAACTCACATATGTATATCCTAATGTACATCTTTCGAAACTTTTTATACATTATACATCGTACATTATACATGTATGTAACATGCATACATTTGTATGAATAAATTAAATCAGTAAGTATTTATCGTCAAATAAGAGTCTGTAAATATTTAAGTACTATATTTATGAAGAAGCTAAATTTACGTAAATATATTTATGTGGCTTCACCACTTTTCGCCTTATGTTGTTTTCTTCAGTTGTGGAATCACATCCAATGTGGTTCTTCTCAAATATACTGTTACTGTAAAATAAGCCGATTTCAAAGCCAACATCGAATTCACGGCATTCGCATGCCTTGACACGGGTTCAAATATACGAAATCCATTGGTTTTATGCTGACCCAGCATTTTTACCATATTATCAGCACCAAATGCAACAGCTTCAAAATGATCATAAAAATTTTGTTCGCCACTTTTCTGAAAAACAAACAGCAACTCGCACAGATAACTTTCAGTTATGGCGCGTAATTTTTTAAAACCAATAAAATACTCCCCTTGTGGGTCACCAACACTATTTTCTATTGATTGCGTTGTGGTATTGTACAACAATTTGCTCTCAACATCGCGTTGAGCGATCAATAACCAATTGTCGCCGTATTCATTGCTTACGCATCGCACCGGGAAGGCAGTTGGCAAATTGGGCAGCTTTATAATGACTTCTCCGACTTGTTGATTGTCACAACTGAGAGCGTGGTTACCGCTTAATTTTGTAGTTATTAAGACATAAGCATATGTTAAATATTTTATAATGGAAATATATATTTCTAATTTTCAAAAGATACATACCCAAAGTACTTTGCGTTTGTTTTTAGATCATCCATAATGTTTTTTACTCTACGATTTATTGCCAACTGATTGTCCATCACTGCGCTTAAGCTATATTCAAAGTAGTAATATTTTCAAATTGTTAAATTTTCTTATACTTATTTTATATTAACTATACATACACGCTGCTTAGATTCCTCATTTCCGGTATATTGCAAGTTTGCTCTACTACCTATTGAAAAATTAAAAGTTGAGAAATGAACCAGCCTTTTAGGGGCCATTTCTCTAGTAGGTTTTAAATGCATCTGCTCTTTAAAGGGCAGATAAACTTTAAGACCGACTTGAGAAAAGGGTCCTAAGTCATTAATTGGCTTTAAATTTCATAATACTCTAAACATGTGTATGTATGTAAGTATGTATACGCACATCAACAACGCCAGTGCGCATAAATGGTCTTATATCTACATCTTGTGAGTTTATTTGTAGATAATTTTCAGGTGATGTTAATAAAACGCTCATTGCCATTAGGAATCTATCAATTGCTATTTGTTGCATTTTTAACAAAATTAAAGAGACCTAAGCATTTGATTTATACTCGTCAAATGCACCAAACTGACTGAATCGTATATGTAGATAATGCAAGCGATTCTCGCGCTAAAGATAACGTCAAACTTTTTAATCGCTGCTAAGAAAAGTTGTTAATCTATGTATATATAAATATGTATGCAAATATATACCCGTTTAATCAGGAAAAATATTGATTCAGGTGACCAGTGAAAGAAAACCAAACACTTAGTTAAGCGCGTATATTGTAAGCACATACAATACTGAAGTAGTGGTCCTTTTCTTAGGCAATCTAATTATACCTTTCATGAACAAAAAAAAATGATATTTTATCTTGAGTCCGATGTTTGTAGGTACAAGAAAAAGATGAGATTGATCCTTAAATAGCTATACTAAGCTGATTACAACGACGAGCTGAGTCGATTTAGCCATGTCCGTCTGGCTGTGCGTTTGAACGCGAACTGGTTCCTCAGTTTTCGATATATCCGCTATCTATATATATATAACGCGAAAGGATTTTTGTTCAAGACAAAATATCTGTACAGTTCGCTCGATAAGGTTTAATTTTTTTGAAAAGAGTTGCCACCCTTTAAAAAATTATATTCAAATTATTTTAAAAAATAAATCACTTATTACAAATCGGGTATCAATCGAAATGGTTCTGAAAATCGTTGTTTCTTAACTTAGCTATAGGAGGGTTGCCACCTGTTTAAAAATCAAATTCAATTTTAATTAAGGGAATCGGGAAAGAGAAATATGTATCACGATATGGTTGACAAACAAAAGGGTTTTTAGAAGGTAATAGTTTTAAAATATTTTGAAGAGGGTTGCCACCTGCTTGAAATGTCGAATTTAGTTAACTTATACCCAAGTTATATGAAATAACATAATATGGATGTCAAATGAAAGAATGTTAAGAAATATTTAGTTTATTTGAGGTGCTGGAAGAGGGTTTAAAAGTTAAATTCAAAATATATGGGCAAATCTAAAAAACAGGTAATCTTGGTGTTATTTAGCTTTATTTTCACTGTTGGAAACTATATCAAGCTGGTTGCTTTTGGATATAATTCATTGACGTATACTTGAAGCCTCAACAAAAATTTTGATCAATTTGCTGCATAACTTTTGAATTATAGGTGTTTAAATTTAAAAAAATAATGAAAACAAGTGAATTTTTTATGTAATTTTTTATTCTGATTTGAAATTTAATGGGCATTTATCACTTATGTGTATACTTCATACTACTACTTAGGAAAAGTGTGCATTAAAAAATAACGAAATGGCAAGTAACTCAAAGTCTGTAACTCCACATTTCACAATTTTCAAAATTTTCGGTTTATCGCGCATAGTTTTTGAAGCATTTAATTTTAAGAACTTTTTAAGTATGTATTGTATTCTACAAACAATTACGAATAATTTGCTACCTTAGCAAGGGGTGTGCTTTCAGAATAAACCAACTTTTAAAGATAAAATATTCTGCGATCTTGAGCGTAATTTTTATTCCAAAAATATCTTAATTGAAGGCACATTTGGAAAATACGTCGAAACGATCTAAATATTTTTATAACTACTAGTCCTTATAACGTTGCATATACCTGTAAAATGCTTTAAAAAAATGTTCTCTAGAAGTGCGTAAAAACCCCAATTTAGTACTTTAAATTATGCTCCTTCTTGTAGTCAGAATATTTCGAGCGTGGTATCAAATCAAATTTCTTTCGACAAAGGTTCTGATAGTTGCTCTTACTTAATTGGAGCCTTCTAAATTTAATGGCGTCCTCAGTTTTGTCCGATTATCTCCACTTTTGCAGATAGCGGTACTTGAAACTTTGCTTAAATTTAACTATTTTATAAAAAAACTTCCTCAGTTTTGACGATATTTTACTAAAATTTTGCACACGCTTGTATTTTAATATTTCCTTCACTATCTCATAAAATCATCAAAACCGGTTCACTCTAAAATCTAGCTCCCATACAACTGATTGTCCAGAGACGATGTTTTGCGTTATAACTCCTCCAATTAAGCAGGTAAAAATTTAGTATAGGTTCACTTTAACATATAGCACGCATACAATTTATTATTCAGATATGAAATTAGAGTTATAGCGCAAAAACACATATCTGAGTAATCAGTTGTATTGGAGCTATACGTTAAAGGGTACCCATTTCGATAATTTTAAGGAATAATTAAGGTAATATTAAAAAACCGTTATGTGCAAAATTTTAGTAAAATAACTTCAAAACTGAGGGAGTTATTTATAAAATTGTTAAAATGTAATCAAATTTTCAAATACCGTTATCTCGAAAACCGGAGCCAATCTGGTAAAACGGGGGATGCCATTGAATTTAGAACGTCCGAATTAAGTGAGTTCAACTTTCAAAATCTTTGCTCAAAATTTACAACTTGAACAACGTAATTTGAACCCAGCTTATTCTTTTGTTTTCTATTTCATGTTTATTCCTCGTCTAACTTTGGAAGCACTTGATGAAAATGAGTTACACTTTTATTAATCGATTTATTAAGAAAATACGAATAAAATGATATATAAAACATATGTGTGCTCACAAATTTAAAAATTAAAATTTTTTTTTTGATGAATTATTAAAATATGGGTATCAATTGAAAGGGGTTTGAAAACACTTTATTTCTGACCTTTATTAAGGAGCGAATTCGCCTTATTTCATCAGTTTATTGAAACACAAGTGCGTCGCAATCTCAAACGAAAGAGATTTTGGAAGTTTTTGGTTTGAAAATACTTTTGAAGAGTGTTGCCACCTGTTTGAAAAGTCAAATTTAGTTTATTAAGCTAAGGATGTGAATCGAAAGAGATTTATAACAACTTTAGTTTGAAAATATCTTTGATTAGGCTTGCCACCTTTTCGAAAAGTCATGTCGATCTTACTAAGAACATTTGTATGCATGTGTATTACACCAGAAGCATTTTTTGTGATAGTCATTAAATTTGCGCAGTTCTTTCGAATGGAAGGTCAAATTAAAGACCTCAGTGTGTAGTTTTATTTTTTTTAATTAAGAACTCTTTTTTATCGGTATAAGGTGATTTGAAATTTGACGAAATTAGCTGCAGGAATGGCTGCACGGTTTTAGATGAAATATGGCGCTCAGATCGCTTATAACTCTCGCTAACATTTGGAATATTTTATACGTTTTTTAAATTCAATTTTGGGCGTTTTAACGCCACGCGGGCTCACTAGCTATTATTTTTATTTATTTAGCTTGCCTTTTTGTTTTTTTCTTTGGGTAAAATCTAGTAATTGAAATTTCACCTCCTTGCTGTTGACCGATGGATCTGAAAATTGCTACACGCCTTTAGTTCTGATGATAATACAGTATGATTGTAAATCTAAGATGGCCGTCGCCACAAAATAGCGGATTACATTTTTTTTCAATCCGCTCAATATGTTTATCAAATGAAGTGCTTCGATTAGTAGAATATCGATGGCTGGGTGGAAGATCGACCTATCTCGGCAACCAGTTCGAAAACGCTCTACCTCAGAAAACTTTTCAAGAACGCCGTATCTCAGAATTCGATTGAAGAACGCCCTATTTCAGAATTTTATTGAAAAATACCCTATCTCAGAATTTGGTTGAAGATCGCCCCATCTCCAACGAAAATACATTGAAAATGTGCTCAGTTAGGGCGTTTTTGAATCGGCAGCTGAGATAGGGCGTTCTTCAATCAAATTCTGAGATAGGGTGATTTTCAATAAAATTCTGAAACAGGGCGTTGTTGAAAAATTTTCTCAGATATGGCGTTTTCGCACTGGCTTTCGAGATAGGTCGATCTTCCACTCAGTCATCGATATACTAAACCGTGAGAAATTCCAAATCTATGATGGCCGTTGGCACGCAGATGGAACCATCCAATATTCATCACCACGCCTGGATGCTAATTTCAAATAAGGATGCTCGAACTGGGAATTTTAGTCTGCAAGGCTACGTTTATGAACCATCGAATTCGCATCGCACGATCGCTACAAGTGCTCAGATACAAAAATTCTTCGCTGCACCATAAACACCGCCATATGAATTTTTGTATAATTGATCGCTAATAGCGATTTTAATCGCATCGCGCGACGCAAATACATATGTATGCTAGGTCATGTAGCTAGCCTAAAAGATTCGGGGTTACAGTTCTTACTACATATACAGAACTACCGCAAACTATAATTTTTAACGGTAATCAAAAATTAAAAAAAAAATAAATTTCAACAAAAACGAAAAAAATCTTCAATACACGTCTTACATCAGTGTTCATCACCTCTTCTAAACTTATTCTTCACCCAGCAGCAAAAGGTAATAGCAATAGCAAATTCGAGGACTAACCGCCGAATTAGTAGAAGTAGTTTTTGTTGGTGTAAACTTTAAGCGGACTATTTATTGGCGCTAATGCAACATAAATAACTTCTCAAAAACTAAGTTCATGCACTTGGCCACATGCTTGCATACGTAGAGTCCTAACCTTCGAAAAGACGTAAGCGACATTTTTTTTCAAAATTGGCGGTTAGGGCTCGATATATTTCTATAGTTGTACCTGCGTTTTCGGCTGAATATTAAATTGCCCATGTACGTTCAAACATACATACATAGATCACAGTATTTCTTATGCATATGTATATATACTGGGCATAGTCTATGCTGTGCTCTCCTTTATATCGCTCCATATGTAAAGATGTATGTATTTTTTTTTACTCTGCGCTTTTCGCTGAAGTGTAATCCTTTTTTCACATTTTCGTTGATTTTTTCGTGTGCGTGCGTTTTTCTCATTTTGGTTTTAGCAGCAGGCAGACATTATACGAGTAATTTAATATCACTTAAGTCATTGTTAGCGCTTAGTGTTGTTTTTGTCACATTTTTCAAAATGAAATCTTCAGTCGGCGCCATTCTTGTCGACACCTGCTTGTCGAACAAGCGAACAACGGCGCCGGTACTAGCACTGTATTAAATTATGTATATTAATATACCTGCATGAGTTTAATATCAACTTTATAACAAGCTGTGTGTACACTGGCGATCAAAACTG